CAGAGCAGTATTTGCATGGGCTGGGGGACACAAATGTGTGTGCTGGGAGGCTACTTCTACCCAGACATACCTAGCTAAATCTGGTGTTGCCCTTTCAGGAGTACCAAAGTCACTCCTGGCCTTCCTGTCCTTCCATGGCATGGTTCATGGAGTGTAGCTGGACACTCTTACCAACTCTAATCCATTCCTGTGACTTCAGGAAACCCTCACCAGTGTCAGGACTGAAAGGAGCACTGCCCTATCGGGCTGCTTCGGCCACCTTCACCAGGCTGTGTATCAGTGCGAGGTTTGTGGCGCAGCAGGTAAGCTCCAGATCTGAAGACCCGCTGAATTTTGCAGGTTTTGGGATTCGGGTGGAAGGGCTGGAGTACTGCGTCAGAGGAATAACGGCCTGTTGTGAAATGTAGGTCCACATCTGAAACTGGATTTAGATCTCACTGCAGACTAAACAAATGTGATTCTGCAAGGCTTCTTAGTCGATAAACACTGAGAACAGGGGCAGTCACATACATATGCATTAGACTGTTCTGCTTTTCAAGAAGCAGCTGTTTGTTGTGAAAATGTAGAAAGAATTTGAATTTTTTCATACAGGGTAGGATTTAACTGAAGAATAAGGGAATGTTGTCAGCCTTGGTTCCAACATCACCTGCAGCAAATCTGAAGCAAAGAAAATAAGGCGAGTAATGTGAGGATGCTTTAGCAAAGTTAGTGATGTACACAGGATTAGCTTAACCTACTGGGAGTCTAATGCTAAATATATCTGGTTAGGCGGCACAAATTTGGTATCTGTTAGGGTTTGGGGTTTTTTTTGATGGGGGGGGGAATGGTTTTGTTCTTTCTGCTTAGCAGCTGGAGGTGCAAAGGGGGTTTGATGCTGTTGAAGGAAATTCACTCCAAACTAATGAGGAGTGCCCCTCCTTCATCTCCAACTAACAGCCAGAACCTGCCTCAAGCATTCCCCTTTTCTTGCTGCCCTTGCTGCTTCCCCTTTTCTGCTCCCCTCAGATTTCCAGTTAAGTGGTGGCATTGCTTTAGAGTTGAGCTTCACAGCCCATGCAGACAAGCAGTGGGGTTCAGAGATGCTTCCACACACGTCTGCACACGTAGGTGTGTTCGTGCACACACGAGCAGATGCAGGTTTAGCCTCGGATGCTGTATTCACATGCACAGATTGTGCCTGGGCCTGGCAGCCGTGCACATTCACTGTGGTCTCTGCAGTGTTTGCTCCCTGAAGTCTGTTATCTCTTAAGTTATGCTATCTGAATTGCTCTCTGCTTGATGCCATTGAGAAACAAGAGCGCATGGAGAGCACTGAAAGGTGAGCATGGAGGGAGCTGGGTGGGATCTGTAAGTGATCCAAGACTCCATGTCAAAACATCCCCACCCCATTCCTTGCATGGCTGGGATGGTTTGCAAAAAGCTCAGACTTCTTAATAAATTGCAGGGAAATTGGCACAAAAGTAACTCTCCAAGGGGCCTGGTCCAGCTCCCAGAAAATCCACAGGGAGTCTAGTGTCGCTGTACTGCTGTAGCCAACACTCACTGAAATTGTGCTTATTCCACTTGGGTTTGATCTGGCAGAGAAGGGGCAAATGCCGATGCTTGTGATTAGCAGTTATAAATCGGGAGCAAGGTGATGGTGTGGCATTGAGAACAATGAGGCTGAAGTTAGTCTTAATTTGCCAGCTCTGCTGCTTGTGGACAGAGGCATCTTCAAAACAGTTGAGAGCTGGTCCCAACAGCTCTGTCCTCTTCATGCTGTCAAATACCTGCCTCAGGTACAAACCTGGGGTTAATCTTGGAGTCGGACCTATGATGCTAGCAGGGTTTTAGGAGGCTCAGGAGCAACGTAAGTCTCTATGCTAACACTGTCTCTTCCTTGTGCAGCTGGAGGATTTGGATGGACAAGCACAGCCAGGCTGCTATGGGTTGTTTTCTTCGCTTGAGCGAAGAATTGGGGGATCTTTCCTGGTCAGGGTGGTGATAGGATTGGAACAGATCAGCCCACTTTGGGAAGGAGACATTGAAATGGTGACCCTTCCTAGAACCAGGTGGTGAATAGGAGGTGCAGCCAAGAGGAACTTCCGGTTGTGAGCCAGGTTTTTAACCATTGCAGAGGGCTGGAGTGTTGCTGCAGTCAGGGGCTGGTATATAAATTCAAAGATGTGACCCTGAGTTGCTTCTTATTCTCCTTAAGGTCACATCAGAGACTGAGAAGCTTCCAGCAAGGCGGAAGTTCATGTTTGTGGGTTACAGTCAGGTATTTTGTACTGAAATTCAATCCTGCCAACCACTGAATCCTCTGCCTTGGTCCAGCTGAGATCCCCCAGGACCTTGCAAGCCCAGGGGCTTTCCTCTGCATCCACTTGTCGTTGTTGCCTTAGATAACGTGTGTTGTATAATCTGCAGAGCACACTCCAGATATGTATGTGGGCGAATCCCCCGGGGAGAACTGAATTCAGTGCTCAGGTCAGAACATGTCCCGTAGGTGTTTGTTGCCATGAGTATGAGCTGGCTGTCCAGGAAGCTGCCAGCAGAGCATGTATGGATGGAGTCGTCCTGCTTCACCCAGAGGCTCCGCACCACCTTGGTGCACTCGGAGCTAGGTTGGAGAAAGCACTAGCACAGAGGCTGAGCACCAGTCTGTCTGTGGGAGCAAAGGGCTTGGCTGATGCTAGCTCGGGCCTGGCTCTTAACAGGGGTGAACACGTTGCATGCTGCTAAGTTTCAGGTTTCCCCCTGGGCAAATCAAAGGCTAAATGAGCTTCAGGATTTTTTTAGTGCCCTGTGGTCTACTGCTTTGAAAGAAAAAGCCATTTGGAGTTGTTCCCCCTTGTCTAGTTTGTAAGTAAGTCTTCTGGGGCCCCACTTTTTGAGTGTTTTCTGTTGGTAGGCTGGAGCTTTGGTTTGAACTAAGAGAACAACTGTTCTTCCATGTTGCCTGGATTCAGGAACTGGGACTTAAAACAGTGTCACCCACTGGATGAGATGGCGCTGGGGGGATAAACTGGTGCAGCGTCCCTGACTTCACTGAACTTCCACACGCTTCTATCTAGTGAAGTGCTAAGGGAATGCTGGATATACACCTTGTTGAGGTCAGTGGGATAGGCAGGTGTAAATCTAGAGTGGATCTGCAGCTATGGAACTGAACTGGTGTTATCTTACTCCTTGTCTTGCATTTCTAACCCCTGCAAACTATACAAAAGGCTCCAGATCAGCATTCTGACACTGGTAGTGGTGTCTTTCTGCCCTACTGCACTTATCCTGCACAAAGGAGCTGACAGATCACTTTGGCTACATGATAAGGCTCTGGAGGAGTTGGAAACCAAGCCCCGGATGTTTTATGTTCACTTTAAGTGTGAACGTTTTTCCTCTGTGTGTATTGGTGAGGCAGCTCAAAGCGGCAAACGTTTGCTGGGTGGTAGAGATTGCTGGCCAGGAAAGGTCTTGGTGGTATCGCCAGCCTGAGAAACGTTGGAGACAAAGGTGATTTTGGGACTCCGGGAGTTGATCTCAGCGCCACAGAGGCGAGTAAAGCTGGGCACATGGGTGTTAGGGAGCTGGGAAATGCGCGGGCCAGGTTTGCTAAGGCTAAAAACCAGCCAGTCCCGTTGCCATGAGCAGAAGTTGGGCCCCGATGGCACGAGCCCAGCTTTGCACCGGGAGGCTGGGTGAGTTTGGCAGAGGAGTCCTGTGCGCAGAGGGGCTGCCTTGCCCTGCAGGATCCCCTTGCAGGGCTGCAGCCAGTCTGCCCTGACCCTCTCCCCGGCGTTCCCAGCCCTGTTTGCTTCCTGCGTCAGAGCCCCGTGGTGAGTCACGCCTGGGATTCCTCAGCTCTGAAGCGGTTCCTTCTTTCCCCCCTCTCCTCCCCAGGTGCTGAGCTCTTTTTCCAAAGCCTTGAATTGAAGGGTGTGTCTATGAAATCTCGAAAACACACACAGGCCCCAGCAGGAATGGGTGAGCACTGTTCCCATTATGTTATGAATACCTGGCTGATTGCCACGGGGATCCTGCCAGGCTGAGCAGCCAATCTCAAGCACCTAGACCTGCTGAGCTCTGGGGTTTTGCATCTCTCACTAAGTCATAGCTTCGCAGAGATGGACAGTTTTAATCTCCTTTCAGCAGTAGCCATGTTTTTGTACTCGCTTGGTCTGCTGTGATATCCCAGTTCCCACGGTTCGCAACTTCCCAGGGAGCTGTGCTGGGAGGGGTGGAGAGTTGAGCAGGCAGCTCCGGCAGCTGGACTGCCCATCCTTGTGAGTGACTCATCTCGTCCAACCTGCAATCTTAAATATTTAATGTTGCCCTGCCCTACACACTGGGCACTGCCCCAGCTCACCCAGGCCCCTCCATGGATCTTGACTTGATGTGCTGCATCAGGTTTGGAGGCTGCCTGGTGTATTTGTGCATTGGAGTGATATGTTGGGCTGGGAGGGAGCACAGCCGGGTGCTCTAGCCCCAACCGCCTCCATTTCCTGAGGGTGGACATCTACTATGTGTTGGGCTTCTTCCACTGCCTCCCATGCAGCACAAGCACTTGGCTCTTCCTGGTGAGGATGTTGAGGGAGAAGTGTTGTTTAAGTAGCCAGGCTTAAAGCTGGCAGAGAGGATGTGGTAGCTGAGACTTCAGCATGACTTCTCAAGCAGACGACAAACTCAATGCCAGTTACAAGCTCTGGTTGCTAATGTCTACAAAGGCCTAAGGGAGCAGGTCTTCTGTGCTAGCAGTGCCTGCTAGCAAGGTTAAGCCACCAGTGAAGGTTTGCAGTCCATGCCATGATGCGCTGTCAGGCTCCACAGTTGAAAGCTATCTGGGACATGGCTGGCGTCTGGGCAGGGCGAAGATGATGGCTGTGAGGTTGTAAATGGTCTCTGGGCCATGCTGAGCCTGGAGCATATGAAACCTGGTGTACAGACAGAACCTGCTATAAGCTGCAAAGTCTCAGTCCTGAGCACTAGTAGAAATCTGATCTGACTTTTTTCTGTTTCCCTTTGCTCAGCAAAATGGACGCCAGCTCACGCACATCTACCCTTGGCATCATGACTGCGCTCTGGACAGACTGGCCTTTCCAAGCCCTGAGGAACGTTCCATGCTGGCAAGAGGAATGTCCCCATCTCTGCTGAGACCTGATGGAGGTTAGCGTGGGCCACAATCCACTCGTCCCTCCTGCCAGGCAGTGACAGTCTTGTTCATGTCCCCATCTGTGGGCAGAGCGGCCGCTTTTCCCAGCGCCCCTTTGCTTGCCCTGGATTCCCAGAGACTCCCACTGGGTGATGTAGCTCTGTAGCATAAATGGTGTGTGGGTAGAGGGGAGAGCAAGTCAGGAGGTGCTGGGAAATACCATTTTGACTCATGCCTTCCAGGGAACGAAACATTGCCGTCCCACACACGCTGGTCCCCACCCTTTTTGCCCCCGATGCTGGGCCTCTGTCCTCCTGGAGGGCTGTGCGGGATTAAATGTGGGCAAACATCAAATGGCCAAACCTATTGCCATTTTGTTTCAGGTGAGGCTTCCTCCCGGCCTGTGAGGGCCTTGTGGATGTGCAGGAATTTGGGCTGGGTGGGGAGTGTGTTGAAGCAGCAGCTGCTGCTGCCTCTGCTGCGCGAGTCCCTGGCATGCCTGGAGGCAGAGGTGTGGGGCCTGTTGGCACTCCCACCCTGTGAGCCCAAGGGCATCGAGCTGACACAACTCTCCTGGAATCTGTCCCGCTCTAACCAGGATTGTTGGCAGGCGTGTACCGAATCTTGGCAGGACAACAAGGGAGTGCTGGTTTTTCTGAAATTCTTGGGCTCGTTTGGTCAGGGCGCTGGCATGCGGAGTCCTGGCAGAGTTGGCATGTGTGTCGCTGCGGCAGACACCGGCGGTGAGGCCTGAAGACGGGACTGTGGGGCTGGCAGGGCTGGTAGCTCAGGGTCTCTCCCGTGTCCCTCCCGGCTGGCAGCAGGGTCTACCTTTTTTTCACTAGTCTTGGAGCACCAAGTGGTGGGCCCACCTTGTCCTTCGTTCCTCCTCACACCTTGGTAGTGAGATGTGATACCAGGACTGGGAGCCACTGGGCTGGAGGGCTGTTGGCCCCGATGGGCTCTGGTCTTGGTGCTGCTGAGAGTCCCAGCTGTGACAGGGCGATGCGTGGAGTCCCCCCGTGATCCAGTTTCCCTGAACCAAAGCCAGGCTGAGGACATCTCAAAGGTGAAGCTCCCTTAGCAGGTCTGTGCAGGCTCCTGTCTCCCAGGCGCTGTCTGGGAGGTAGAGACCCCAGGGCTGCTCCGAGCCATCCAGGCGCAGGTGGAGATGGAAACTAAGCAACAGGGATGGCTGCAGGACAGAAGAAGAGGTGTTTCACACGTCTGGGATGGTGAATAACTGGAAATAGTTGAAAGAAAGGGGCAACCCAGCCTTGCAGCAGACAGCTGAGCTCAGCTTGGCCACCCTGGGGAGTGTGAAGGGCCGCAGGAGAGGAAAGCCCGGACTGGGCCACCGTCCCCAGTGATGAATTCATGCAGGGTAGAATTTCCCCCGTTTTGTGCCAAAGGTGGAGTGGGCTGCGTGGAGGCAGCCTCCCCCCTGCTGCAGGTATTGCTCTGCACACCTGGCCGAGGAGGCAGGGTGTGGGCAGGGGAGGATGGGCCCTGGCAAACCAGGCAAGGCTCGGGTGTTCACATTCCTCTCCGGATTGGCCCTGAAGAGAAAAACCTGGCCTTATACGGTCAAAAAAGCCAGTGCTGGCTGCTCCTCCTCCTCCCTGCAAGGGGATGTGGAGAGGTGTGGATGGGCTGATGGCGTTGGGCATGTTTTCCTCCACCCTTCCCAGCTCTCCCCTCCCTTCTCCAGGTGCCCTGGAGACAAATACAGCTTTGGCTTTGCAGCCAGCGTGGCTGATTTCTGGGGCTTGCAAAGAGGCTGGTTCCCCCCAGCGAGAGTGACTGGTTTTGTGTCCCCCAGGAGCCCGGGAGGTGATGGGTGGGCAGCCGAGGGTGCCCCTGGGTGTGGCTGGAGATCTCTTCAGGCTCAAGTAGGCAGTACGGACAGTACAAATCGCAGATGGTTAAGCCTCTTTCCTGCTTGCTTAACTCCCTGCTTTCTGTCCCGGGTTAGGAAAAATAAATTACACCCCCTTCAACTTGATTGCATCTTAGGCTGCGGGCAAAAACAAATAGGAGAAACTGAGGCACAGTTTTGTCCCAGAACATGCAGGAAAAGGAAATTTAAACTCTTGTCTTTGCCCAAGACTGGGGGAGTTCCTTTTTCCAATGTCTTGTTTCTTGAGTTGAGCTGCCTCAGTTCCTGGAAACGGGTGTGCCAAGGGGGCAGGCCTGGGACCTGAGCCTGGAGGATCCATCTTTCACCTCCTGTCTTGGGCCTTGTCTATTGGAGTCACTCCAGACAAGAGCTGGAACCAGGGGGAGCAGCTGTGGGTGAACTGGGACTGGCAGATTAAGCTTGGTTGGAAATTGGAGTGGGCTGGAGGGTATTTTTGGAAGAGTGCAATTGCACTCAGTGGGACAAGGTGTAGTAGAAAGTCTCTAGAGCTCTGGGCCATCCTTTCTCCGCCCCAGGAACACATTTCCATCTCACTTCCCACATATTTAGCAACATGGAACATGCGGAGGGATTTTTCCGCCCGCCCCCTCCAGTATAGAGCATGAACTCTGCTTGTGCCAGATTTCCCCAGTCTAAATTTACTTGTCTCTGAGCCTGGCTGCTCAGTGCCCTGGGGAGCACTAGAAGATAGGCGGTCTGCACCGAGACCAGGCCCATGGCCTGCTTTAATGGGAGCCTGGTGGGCGCTCTGCTTCTGCCCAAAGGAGCATCCCTCCATCTGGAGGGAAGGGAGAGGTGGGAGGAAACCCAGAAATGCTCCCACGTGCAGCTGGATAGCTGTTTCGTGGGGAGCAGATGGGCTGAAAGCTGAGTTTCCAAAGGAAAACAAGGTTCATCTCTTTATGAAGTTATTTTTGGTGTTTTCTTGCAGGATTTAGCCCTAAAAGGACCAAAAAAGTGGTGTGTCTCGACAGGTCTGTGGCCTTTTTCAGAGTGGGGCTGGCAGCAGAGCCCCCCGCCAGAGCTTTTGGTGCAAGTCACCAAAACCAGACAGCAAGGAGGGGAAGGTGGCAGGTTCATTCCCTGGGCTGGTGGGATCTGATCAAGGGAGGTGTTTCTCACTCTTGGGAACTGCTGGGAACCGATCTGCCCTCCCCAGGCAGATCCCCAGACTGATTCGAAAGTGTGTGTGGGCTACAAAGGAATGAGATCTCAGGCTGTGTGGGGTGAAACAGATCTGGGCCAGCCAGGCCAGGCTACCGGCATGATTGCCACCAGGACATCGGTTCTGGGTGGGTGAGGAAGACGCTTTAGGATCGGGCAAACCTCTGTGTCTCAGGCTACCCTTGTAGCCACTGTTCTACTCTCTTGCAGCATTCAGGGAAGGATCTTGACCACGCTTTGGTGCCCTTTTGCTCAGCGCCTGGGAGCTGTTTTCCTGTTCTCCTGGGAGGCTGGGCTTGCTGGAAGGAAGGAGGGGGTTGTTTGGGATGTGGCAGCTTACGGGATTTCAGGGCTTGGAGGCGTTTGCAATGGTGTCACCTGCCCAGGAGAGGGAGCCTGGAGCTCACACTTGGGTGCTCCCCACCCCAGGAGGCAGCGGCCCAGGTATGTGGTGCCCTTAGATGTGGTCTGGGGCTCAGACTCTCCCTGCTTGGAAGGCAGCAGAGGAGCCCTGCCGCTTCCCGCTGTCTGCTCCAGCTTGTCTGCTGGACTCCAGCCCAGGTGCTGTTTGCGGACATGAATATTTCCTTGGTGATCTTCTCTGCCAGAGTCTGCCCCACCAAAATCAGCTGTGCTCCCTGCTTTCAGCACGTGGGTTTATCTGTCCCTGGGTTTTGCCCCTGGGCTTTGTCTCGCAACTGGGCCATGTCCTGGACATCTGATGTCTCCTTTCCCCACGCTTGGGCAGATACTCCAATCTTTGGCTCCAGACAGAGTTTGAGATCATCTTTGGGAAGCCTGTCGAAGCTGAAACTGATACGGCTTCACCTGGAGATGACTGTGCTTTGGATTGCACAGATGTAGCTTGCCAGATAACATGGATGAGCTTGCCTTTATTCCACTGATCCCCTTAGCAGCAGCTAAATCTGTTGGCTGCTGTGTTGATTACTGCACTGGCTCAGCATCCTTTCAGGACTGTCCCCCAACACCCCAAAGGGGCTTCCGAGATCCTGAGTTGATGGTGCTGCCTGGTATGTCTTAAGGGGGCAAGAGGTGTGATGTCCTTCAGTGGACCAAAAGAAAAAAAAAAAGATACAGAACTTCCCCAGTGAATTTAACAGCTGGGTTTAGGGCTGGCAGTGTTTCTGGTATGAGAATAGCTACTGAAGTTAGCCCTGAGGAAGGGGCTGGTCCTTCAGATGAAGCCAGTGCTTAAGGGGTGGTATGGTGGAGGGGGAAGGACGGGTGCATGGGCAGATGTGGACGTCCCAAAGCAATGTGAGTATCTCAGGCGTAGGTCAGCTCCCATCAGTGGAAGACAGGAATTATTCTGCTGCATAAAATCATTGCCCTGGTATGATTTGGCTTGAGATACACTCTCCAATTGTCAGTAGGGAAACTGAGGCACAGAGCAGTGAAGTGACTGGGACAGTGAAACAGTGAGTTGAGTCCTTCTCTCCTGTGTCCTAGAACAGTGAACTGAACCCAGGAGTCCAGCTTCCTTGTCCCTTGCTCTGGGATTTCTCTCAATCCCCTGGGTGATAAAGGCTCAGAAGCAGAAAAAAACCAAACCAAACCAAAACACCACCATATGGCAAGGAAGGAAAACAGCTAGAAATTCTCTTCTTGTAGGACTGGGCTGCAGTTGAGCCTCTACCCTTTCCAGCCTGCCTGTGAGCACACATCTCTGACCACCCTCTCCTCCAGTTCTCCCAGGTTGAATGTTTGGGGCTCCCAACCCCTCCCTTTCCATCCAGGTTTCATTCTGGCCAACACTAGCCCTGTGCTTCTTGCTCCCCCCGCTCCATGCTCGCAGAGCCTCAGCCCCACCCTGCCTTACGAGGCTGCCAGGCTGTTCCCAGCAGTCGGTCATCTCCTGGGCCTCACGCACCTCTGGTGTCGTGCAGCCTTGCACAAACCCAGCGTTGTTCCTCCAGCTGGAAGGAGGGCTCTGCTGGGCCCTGCCTCCAGGGGAAGCTCTGCACTAAAGTGACATCTCCTCCCCAGCTGGGAACAGCTGGTGACTGGGAGCTCACTTGTAGCTTCCCCCCTTCCCATCCCTGTCAGTTTGAGAAACCAGATTTAACAGGCAGGGACTCCTTCTGCTGGCCTGGACTGTCCTCCCCTCCTCTGCCCCTGCGCCCTTTGAGCTGACCCTGGAAGTGCAGTGTTTGTCTCGTGTGGGCAGCAAACATCAGAGCAGAGATGCTCCCCGTCTCACATCCTCCCGCTCCTCTGGGGCCTTGTCTGTTACGGATCTCCCACGTGAGTCCCTTTGAGGAGGGTTGTTTGGAACAAGGAGCACCAGGAAAACCCCCGTGTGCTGGAAGGGCACCTCTGAAATGAGGGGCTCCATGGAAGTGGGTGGTTCCCCCGGCCAGATCTGGGCCCTGGGTGCACACCAGGTCCCTTTCGCAGAGGTGCAGGGCAAGTTTAGCGAGGGGAAGCTTTGTGTAGATGAGTATGGTGAGGAGTGTGTGGTGGCCTGTGCGATAACCCTTCATCTCCCAAAGCATGCTCGAGCTGCTCAGTGATTCACAGCCACGTGGGAGCCTGGTGGCAGAACATTGGTGAGCTCGCCAAAACCTTGGCTGCTGGCTCTGCATCTGCCCCTCCAGCCCTCTGTACTTCTTCCTGGGGATGCGGACCAGACAAACTACCCGGGAACCGATTTCAGCTTCAATCAGAGTTTAGCCAGAGCTCTCAGCTGAAACCTGCTGGCAAGTGGGGAAGGAATTGCTGTTTCAGGTGGGCTGTGGTAAGAAATTCGGAGCAAACCAACAATACGGTGCAGTCTGTGTGACACAGTGCTTTATTATAACAGCCCTAACCCCGGAGAGCCAGTGTTCTGGTTAGAGAGATGCTACGGTAGTTGTCTATCCTACAGAACTGTGGAAATACTGCAACGCGCTCTATGGAAATATGGCAAGAGACTATTAACAACTCCTCCCGTGAACTCAAAATCTGGGAACTCAAGTGGGGCTGCATGGCAGTGAAAGGCCAGAGCCTGGCCTTGTAAAGGAGAATACTGCAGGGCACTGTCTATGTTAGTCTGTGCAAGAGGGCCACAGAAATGCCTGTGTTGAGGCCAGAACATCCCCCCCACCTTGCTTGCAGGGGGACATGGCATCTACAGAGTCGGCTTTAGTGGTCTTGGTGTGATGTGACTGGTGTGCACTGGCTGGTATCAGCCAGGTAAGGTAAAAGCTGCTGTGTAAGTTCAATAAATACAAAGACAAGTCCTGCTCCTCGTACTGAAATGGGAACCGATATCCCATTTCTAGGACCGAGCACCACAGTGCTAGTGTGGAGCCTGGAGTGCCCTGAGGCAGGCAGAGATGCTCTCTGTTAGAGAGATGGCTTACGAAAATACACGTTTTGAGAAGTTTCAGCTTTGGTGGCATGGGAAGGAATGCGGGGCCACCCAAAAGGCACTAAAATCAGTTAAATACTCTGAAGTGGCCACAGCTCCCCCAGTACAGCCAGCATGTTTGTCACCAGACATGCAAATCCAGGTGTTGCAAATGCAGCTGGCTGAGGTTGTTTACCTGCATCTCCCCGCCAGCCTTCCTCCGACAGCGACATCAGGGAACACCTCTCACAGGCACACACAGAGCAGGGACAGAGCAGGGAGAATGATTTTGTAATACTGGCAAAATGCCTGGGCTGAGGGCTTCTGGCTGCTGCGTTAAAAGCTTGTGTAATAATTTCCCCTCCTGCCAGATTTCCTATAGGTAGATCTCAAAGGCTGTGAATGGAAATCCTCTGGGAAAGCAGACCTAGAGAGGTTGATGTTGGTGTGCATATCTGAGTGGGAGAGTCTAAAATCCTGGGTTGGTTTCTGCCTGTAACTGGTAACAGAGGTGTTAACCGGGATGCTATAAAGACAAAAGAGACAGCCTGGAGTGGATTCTCGTCGTTTGTCCTTGGACGTTGGCTTGAGTTCAGGAGAAAGTGCTTTGGCCTCATTTGGCTACAGGTGCCAACGGGTCTTGTGTTTATGCTGTGGGGCTCCATTTCTCTTAGGAGCATTCTTCGGTGGGCAGGGAACCGAGCTTTGGCCGGGCACTGCTGATGAAGGCAGCTGCTTCGGGTGTCGCTGAGCTGTCACTCTGGCTTCTAGAGGACAGCATCTTTGTGCTGCCTCCGTTTGGCTTCATCTCACCATTCGTGCTGACTGTTCCTCTTGCAAACAGCTTGGAGTTTCTCAAGGTGCTGGCAGAAACTGCAGGGGTGGGGGGAAATGAGAGCAGGGAGGTCAGAAACGTTTCGTTCGCGCTCTGCTTTACCAAATCGTGTGAATAAAACCACTTACGGTGCTTTGGTCTGGAGTGGACGGTGCTGACGACTGTGGGTATTGGTTGCTCCATGCTGTGTACGCAAGGACAGAGTGTGAGGGCACATATTAAACTCTGCAGTGCGAGAGAGATGTAGAGTACTGGAGTTTGGCCCGTGTGAGCTGGGCTACAAGGGTAGAGCCAAGTGCCTGAAGGCCAACTCAACAGCATCTGGGCAACGCACCATCTAGAGAAGTGCTGGAACCCGCCGTCTGGCGAGTCTAAGGAAAAATTCAGAGGAAGAAACAGGGCTGAACTGCAGGGGGTCTGCTGGGATTTGTTCTTTCTTTGATCAAACCTTCAGTACCAGACTCAAAGCTTGGGGCGTCTGCTTTCTGCCTAGGTGTTTGGGTGCATCCCTTCCCCTCTTCAGGCACAGGGAAGCCCAGCTTACCTGCTTTCCTCCCCTTCCATCAGCTTCCTGTAAGTGAGGATCTCCACATCCAGTGCCAGCTTGACGTTCATCAGCTCCTGATACTCTTTCACCAGATGAGCCATATCCTCCTTGCTTTTCTGTAGGGCTTCCTCTAGCTTGACCAGTTTGGCTTTGGCATCCTTGAGAGCCACCTCGCCGTGCTCTCCGGCTTCTTTGATATGCTCCTCTAAGTGCAGGCACTGGTGTTGCAAAGGGAAAAGGGTGGTGGAGGTGTTAAGTGTGCTGTAGTTCCAGACCTGTACGTCAGAGGTTTGTCACCCACCCCAGGACACACCTGGCTCTTTTGGGACACAATGCAGGACCTCAGCTTCTGGATCTGTATGTTCAGGTCTGCGATCTCCCGCCGGCTGTCAAGGAGGTGACCCCCATAGGTGCCTGACTGGGTGCTTCCTTCATTCAGCTGCAGGAGAGATGAGAGAGTGGGCTATCTGCGTGCTTCCTCTGCTGTAGCAAAGGAATCTGCAAAGATTCTCACTGCCCTAGAGGAGAAGGACCTAACTGGGGAAAAATAGCAGGTGTGTGGAAGGATTTAGGGCTCGTTCTCCTATCCTCTGCTGGCGGCAGCTGTGCCAGGTATAGAGCACACTGTCTCTTGGGGTTAATCACGTTCTCACTCTGTTTGGAGGAGACACCAGTGGAAGTTCATTTGCATCTTAGGTGGAACACGCTGCCACTGGAAGATGACTTTGCCTTTCTCCAGTGACAGTATGGAGAGCCTAGAGCAATGAAACTACTAATTTACACACCTGAGTTAGGAGGAGTTGATCTGGGTTAGCAGCCCGTCCCTTGCCCCATTCCCAGGTGTAGTCTGTCCCTCCACATCGTGCTGATTCCTGTAGTTTCTAGACTGATCTTTCTCCCTCTTCTTCCCTGCCTCTCCCCGGTATTAATCAGATAAGGAGACAAAATACCTTTCTCCTGGTGAGTGCTTCAGCCTCCTCCCAGCTCCGAAGAGCCAGTGCTTCATACTGGGCCCTCACTTCTTCCACAATTCTGCTCAGATCCAGTTTGCATGCATTGTCAATTCCCAGTACAACAGAAATGTCCTTAATGTCTGTCAGCAGCTCCTCGAGTTCCTGAATAGCAAAGAGAGAATTAGGACTGAGATACCAAGTAGTCAGCAAAGCTACAAGCCAGGAGGGAGCTGAACCCTGGCAGATCTGCTGTGCTTAGGGGGGCAAAGCATCTTCCATATGCAGTGTGGAGATGGTGAGATTTCCTGGGTTTGCAGTCTGAAGTTTGGAGGCTGGTATTATTTTCTCCACAAAATCCTGGCTCAGGCTAGGGTGTTGGTTTGGGACCTTTGGACACAGTCTCTTAAGAGTCTGACAAAGTAGTGCATTTGTACAGAGTCAAGAGCGAGTTAACTGAACTGATGATCATGCTTCAATATCTATCAGTATTCAGATGGTGGGCATTTATTCTTGGGCAAGAAATAGGGCCGCATGGTCATCCTGCAGGTGCTAGAAAGATGCCTTTGCCAAGCTCTGCGTCAGTATCCAGAGAGGCTGTGTTGCCACTTGTGGTGTTATAGTCTGCTTTGTGTCTAGTTAGAAAAGGGAGACACAGGGCCCTTCTCTAAGCACATCCATCGCTAGCAGACCTATTCCACACCCCAGAGCTGCTCTCAGATGCTGGGAAAACTCAAGCCAGCGTGGGGGAAGCAGGGGCATGCACACACAAGCTGCAGTATCACTGACTGGGATATTTGCTCTTGGTAGCTGACTCGGTCACAGCTTTAGAAAAAGGAGCCAAACAATGCTGAATGCAAACTCCCCTCGGTGAACCTAAAAAGGACCCTTAATCCATGCGGGTGAACTGCACTCCTGGGTGGTTTGTATCCAGGCAAGACACGACTTGATGTTGAGCAGACGGTGTGCGCATTCGCTTGGCAGCTGCCCCCACAGCCCCAGCCTGTTCCTGCAGGGATGTCACTCTTATCAGTATTTCTGCAGTTGCTTCTGATTTACACCAGTGCTAAAAGAGAGCAGCGTCCATCTCTCTCCATCTCTTACCTTTCATCTCAATGTTTTTGTTCTTCCCTTTTGTGCTGAGGGCTCTAATCTCTTTAGAGAAGCATTTGTATACCTTGTTTGCCTTGCCTTCCCCTAACTGGGGAAACAAAGGGCATCCTGACATGGTGATTCATGAATAACAGAAAAATACCCCACCACTCTTCCAAAGAGCAGGATTATCAGTGTATTTTTTCCCACCAGTGCTTAATCCTTTCTGTTAATCTTTGAGCAGGTTAATAGCTATATAAGAAAATGCATGTTTATTGCAAATACTTGAGCATCCTCTGCCAGAGGAAAAAAAAACAAAACAAAACAAAAAAAAAAAAAAAAAAAAAAAAAAAAACAAAACCAAAACAACCTGGTGGTTTATTAATGAGGATTGAGGCTGGGATATTCTCCTGATACATACCGACCTGCTGTGAGCAAAGCTGTCAAGCAAAGTTTTCCTCATTTGCCCTTCCACTGGGTATGTGTGCCTGTACGTTAATGTCAGTCACATCAACAGGTACAGGCGAGAAAACGACTAACCTGAGAACAAACTATTGAGAGGAAAGGGCAGAGAGAGGTGGAGGCTAATTTTTTTACATGAAATGTGGGTTAAAAAAAAAAAAAAAAAGCAGCCTTCTGCCAGGACAGCAGTGCGGAACCTGGAGGAAATCAGCTCAGGAAGGTGATCCTTCCAGCAGGATCCGATTTCCAGCTCCCCCTGTGAATTGCCTTGCACCAGGGATAATCTTTTAGCGAAAGGGAGGCTTCATGGTTAGCTGCAGGCAGGGCCAGTGTTCTGATGTGCATGTGTTCTGCTGCTCCGTGCCTCGGTTTCCCCACAAGGAATGTTAACATTCCTCTGTCAAGCGTTTTAATTGTTTGTATTGGTAGGATTTAGGCAAATCATTAGTATTCCCAAAACACTGCCCAGCCTGCTTGGTTACATTTTACAGGCTCTGAGTAAGTGGCTGTAATCTCTTGGCCTTGTTTGAGTAGATACAGGCAGCTGCAGCCTTTGGGTTTGTGTGAGGGGCTGCAGAGCCTGTGTCCTTCCCCCCTTGGGGAAACCATACCTGCCTGCACTCGATGAAGTGGAAGGGCAGTGCGCTGGAGTGTGTTAAAGAGCGTCCAGCGCCTCACCCAGGTTCACCACAGCCCGTCCTGCTTTGTTGGGAGCTTTTCCTCGGAGTCGGGGTAGAATGATACTCAGCTCACTCGGGACCTAGGGCACTTGGTCTCAAGGCAGATGCTGTCGGGGGGGTAGGGAGCTGAGCCGAAGCCAGCCAGCCGGCGAGTTGCCTGGGGGCTCCTGCCTGCGAGAGGGGAGAGGTGCTTGAGCAGCCTCCCTGCAGTAGCCGTGGGGCTGCAGGAACATCCTGGTCAAATTTTAAATGGAGCTGGTTTAAAGGAGGGGGATTAGCTCAGGAGACCCTGCCTTAAGCCATCTAATAGTTGTCTGCAACACCATGCGACTCCCCTGCACGAGCTCTCATTTTGGTGTAAATCTGGAACAATGCCCTCTCTGTAGTGGAACTGTCCACAAAAATGCCATCTTTTTGCATAGTAGCTCGTGTGCTCCCAGGCCACTCCCCCAGCTGCATTTTTACCTGCTCGTAGATGGTTTTTTTCAAATCCATTAGCTCTTGGAGCCCCTTGAGTTTTACCTCCAGCTCAGTTCTGTGTAAGGAGCTCACATCTAAGTCCTACAGGAGATAGAAAGTGTATTAATCAATAGTTTGTCTTTGGGCCTGTAGCTAGAAGTCTTTCCCACTGCCACCTCTTCCCCCAGAAGTGCCCTGCTTGCTATTCATTGGCAGATACTTGTGAAACTGCTCTGGAAGTAGGGAGGCTCCTTTGGGGACCTTTTTCCTCGGCAGTGTTCTTTTTTTTTAATGAGTGCTTTGGTGGAAGTCTCAAATGAGGCAGGGTGGAGAAGGAAACAGGCAGGGCTGGTCCATACCCACTCGTCTTTTGTTCACCTCAAAAAGCACGCGTTATTGAAAACTCTGATGCCGGCCACAGAAGTCACCAGAACTGCCCTTACTGGCTGATGAGTGTCTCAGGGAAAACATGCAATTAGCCATAATGATCACTTGCGGAGAACATTTCCTCTGTCTAATAATACCCTGCATTCCTGCACCTTGGATTTTTTTTTTTTTTTTTTTTTTTTTAAGGTACAGGCTCAGCACAAAGCCTCCCATTTCAGCTGATATTCAAACACAGCTACTTCTGGGGCGCGATGTTTAAACAGGGTGTGGCCATGTGACAGGAAACAAAAGCAAACACATTTATCAATTTCCAGCCTTTCCCAACCTATGATGTCATTCTGAGCGAAAACATGCCAGGGAGGAGAGGTGTTGCCTCGGAAGGTGCTGGGGTGCAGAGCCCTCCGGGCCAGGTCTGGCCAGTGCAATTCCGGTGTGGCTGGGTGCTGGCATGGGCTGACCCCCAGGCACTTCTGCTAGAGCCACGGGGCTTTGCTGTAACCACAAGTGGCCCAGACTCACTTGTACTTTTCCTACTGAAATGGTGACTGTGTTCACCACTCCGCTGTTCTCCTCAAGACCTTATTACCCCACAAAACGTCTGTGGTACGACGACTAGCCCAGACTGTCTTGTCTCTCCAGGCTCTTCTGTGACTGTGCAGATCTGGTGCAGAGCCTCCCCAGATGAAAAGCTTTTCTTGCCACTGACCTTTTTGAGCTCCATGAAGGTGTATTCCATGCCACTACAGAGACGAATTTCATCCTCGTATCTAAGGAGAGAGAAAAAAGCAGTAAGTAACTGCACATGCTAAAAGCCTCTGGGATGCTTCAGGTTCTCTTGCTGGCCCCAGAAAGTGTTGGTACCAAAGCTTTCTGCTTTTACTGTGATGTCCCACCTCCTTGATGTATGCTAGACAGCAAGGAGAGATGTCTCTTAGCCGTGGGCATCTTGGACAAGAGAGGGGGTAACAAGCTGTTACCTGCCAGCTGCTCTGTAGCAACACCATGAGCGCTTTAAATCTGAAGAGACCCAAAGTAGAGAGGAGGTAGCTTTAATTCTCATTTAATTTGAGGGCTAAGCAACCTCAGGTTACCTCACATTTGCCACAGAAAGAGAGTAGGCATGGAGAAGTGGGGTGTGGTGCGTTATTCTCTGTGAAACCCAGTTGCATGCCCAAAGACTCCTAAAATTTCATCCTAAACCTTCCTTTTCTGTGTCTTTCAGGTATTCTCAGCATTTAATTTCCAGAGTCCAGAATCTTCTCAAGGGAGAAAACTTTGGCTTGTGAAAATTCCAAGAACACTGGACAGGTGCCATAACTTACCCTAAATGGAGCCCAATTTGTGAAGTAACACAGGACCTGGCAAAGCAATTCATGGAGAACAGCGCCCACAGAGCAGAAGGTAACAAAAACCTGACAGGATAGGGTGGAGTCCTGATGGCTAAATATCCAGAGAGGAACCAACCCCGCAGGTGTTTAAAAACAGGTTTGATAAGGCAGGACCAGGACAGCAAAGACTGAGTCCAGGGGCAAATGTGTTTCTTGATGGCCAGCAGCAGACGTGGGCGAGTAGCTTGGGGGATACACGGCGCCGCGTTGGCCCCTGGGACAAGCAGGTGGCCAGCGCTGATGTTGGTAAAAGCAGGTATCGGACCAGGAAGCCCCAGGGACTCTTGTGGGCCTGGTGTGTGACCAGCAGCAGGTGGCTGGTCTGCCGTGCGGGAGCGGGATGTGCTGGGTGTTTGGGAGCTCAACCCCTGGGAGTGTTGGCTCGTCTGCCAGGACCAGGGCAGGTTGCTCCCTCAGGGAGGTCGTGGCTTCCCTGCTCTACCGTGACACCTCAGGCTCCTCTCAGCCTGGAACACGTAGTGTTCCCAGGCGGCGAATTAAACCTTTCAGTGCTGCTTAGAGATGTCACAGAATTGATATGGGGAAGGCTGAGGCCTTTGGGAATGAGGTAAAATGCCATCTCCTAACGGAGTGATGACGATAAAAATCGGGAATGACAGCCGTGGTCTGTTGTTTGGTGGTCTGGTGCATCATCACTTGTTACTCTTGAGAGCCTTCCTCGCTGTTGTACAAACCTTTAGGAGAAAGAGGAGCTGTGCCCAAGAGCAGAAAGAGGAGAAGGTATTGGGAACGCAGCACAGGGCAAGGGGGTAAATCAAGCTCAGGAGCTGACCTGAAATATCAGAAACAGCTCCCTGGAGCTGTTGCTTCCTCCGCAGAGAGGACAGGGAGGGAATCTGACAGTCACAGGCTCTACAGTTAGTCACTTCTGAGCTGCCTCTTGAGTACCCCCATGGTGTTAAACTCGCCCTCTCCTTGCCTGCTTTTACAAGGCCAGGTAGCATGGCTAACAAGATTTACCTGTCTGGCTTCTCTGTGCTTTAGCTGGAATGTTAGCCATGCTGCCAGCAACTATGTACTGAGCTTAATTACAGCCTGCCACTCTTCCTTCATCCTCATTGCCTCTCAGCCCATTCCCAGTCTGTCCCAGCCTGCTGAAGCAGCTTCGTGCATTGCCGGGCGCTGACATAATCTTGTATATTGAACAAACAACAGTCCTGACTGAAAGAGAGCAGGCCCAGCCAGCTGAACACGCTCACCGCACGGCTCCGGAGGGACCTGGCGGCCGGGAGATGATTCACATGGGGATGGAGCATTCCACAAACACATTACAGCATTTATCTCCTCAGAGATAATCCTCAGGCAGTCATGCATTAGGGCGTAAATCCATTCCATCTCGATTCATGCACTTAAGACACGCTTGAGACAGGCGTCTGGTCGCCTTGGGCTCCTTCCATAGGCAGTGAAGCAAAATCAGAGGTGAACCAACTCTCAGGCAGGATGTGCTCCTCTCTGGATGTGCCTTCAAGACTACTTTAGGGTGAAGATATAGGGATGGGATGGAGCTGAGCCTGGTAGCATGAATTAAGTCAGTCTTCCTTTCGTGGAGAAAGGAAATGAGGCAGGAAGCAGCTGAAAAACCAACTGCAGAGGTTGAAGGTAGAGGGCTGTTGACTGTCTAGTCTTCAGGTGGCAAGATTTGACTAACAGAATCCCTGATCTCAGAAATTGGTCTTCTAAGGGCTGTATGCCCCGTATTTTCCTGCAGGATCTCCCCAGTGCCATGCCAGAGTAGGTCAGCACAGGCAAAAATTCCCTGCCTTCTCATTCAAAAGGGTCTTTGCATGTCCCCACACACGTGGGGAGCTGAAGCAAACACTCGTACAGATGTGCACCTCTGGGCAGCCATCCCTATTCAGGTATGCTTTGGTATCTGATTTTTAGCCCGACTTCCTAAAGAAGCAGGGTTTGAGAGTCTGTGGCAGCCTCCAACCCGCTTCCCTGTCCCCTCTCCCTCCTTCTCTGCATTTGGCATTGCTGGTCAATGACAACCTGCTTTGAGAAGGAGCTCCAAGCATCCCAGCTGGTTAAATCTCCTGTGTGGCTTTTGGAAAGCAGTCCCTCGATAGAGAAGACAGACAAATCGGTGCCTTAGAGAGGGGCGCTGCCAGGCAGATTTCACATCATAAGTGATCTGTTGGGCAGCAGCCTGCCTGGGTGGGCACTGTGTGCATGGCGTGTTTCGTCTGGAGTGCCACAGCTTGGATGAGAACATAACCAGTTAAATTTGCCAGTGAAGTTACTAGCTTTTCCTCCCCCCCAAAAAAATTTCCCTTGGGAAAAAAAACCTCCAGAGGAGTTGGAAGCCTCCAAAATTTGCATGGTTTAGGCAGACCGTTTGCTCCCGAGGAACAACTGGGCTGAGGCAGCCTTCTTGAAGGCGGCGTGCAGGACCCAACAGGGCCGCTGTGGGTTAGGACGGGGTTGGATCGCTGCCTGGAGAAGGCTCAGCAGAAACAGCAGTTCTCTCCCCATGAATCACGGGCCGCTGGGAGCAGTGCAGTGGCTTGTCACTGTCACAGAAATCCACCTGCGCTGGCTTTGGGTGTTAACAGCACCCAGTGACAGGGTGGGGGTTCGCCTGTTTGCTGCTTGGGTCTCCCCTGGCAGGGCTTGTGCCTTGCAGCTCACCCACGGCAGAAAGCGCGAAGGGGAGGCCCTGCAAATGAGCTAAAAGTGCTTTGAGGAGCAGTGGAATTTCTGAGCACTGTTTTCCCACGGCTGCCTAGTCCCACAAAGTGGGAACTCTTCTCAAGACCATTACCTGGGCTAGTCATAAGCCGGTGCCTGTTGTGGATTCTCTGCTGGCTAATACTGCACGTGTGCACACACTGTATCCTTATCTTCCATGTGTGTTGGGTGTGGGGTGGGTCCTGTTCCTCTAGTCAGTCTCATTTTTTAATTTTGAGGGTTGTAGCATCCCTATCATGTCTTATCCCGTTGTCCAACTAGGTAGTAACTGTCCAAGAAAATCAAAACACAGGGGGGGAAAACAGACAGCCTGTTTGTGTAAGCACCTTTATCCTTAAGAAATCAGGCTGAAAAATAAATGAAGTGCCAGACATAGGCAATTAATGAGGCAATCACTGAGTACAAATACGAGTACGAACTGTGAGAGCAGATATCGGCCACTGATCTGACATTTCTCTACCAGCCCAACCGTTTTCCTTTCTGGGTTTTCCTGACTGTCAGGGAGTAAACCAGGAAGTATCTTTTACAACTCCAGGGCCACAGAGCAGTTACATCCTCAGGGTAGTGCTAGGAAGACCAAGTGCTCCAGGGAGGAATGACAGGTTTTAACCTTTTTAGGGCAGGGAGTGAATGGCACAATCCCTGTTGTGGCTTTGATCCAAGCACAGGGTTGCTACCTGTCAGCAAAGCAAGCATCGGTGAGCTCAAGGCTTGTAGCGAAACCAACATCCATATAAAGAGCAGACAGGAGCCCGCCACAAGGAATTTAGGTATTACTAGGCACCTGGGTTTCACTGTGTCACTTCTTGAAGCATGCTGAGCATAGTGATTTCAGCATAACGTCAAGAACCAAACTCCCAGTTCCCATTCCTGCTTTGCCACCAGCTTGCTCTGTGTGCTTGAGTAAGACGCGTAACTGCCGTGTCTCCGTCATGTCTGCGGGGGTATCAGTCCTTCCCCTAATACGCAGACACATTGAGTAGCTGGTTTAGTCAAAGTCTGCAAAAATCGTTAAGATCCTTGGAGTAAACTCTCTGGGGAGGGCTCTGTTGTTATTTATGCATCACCCTGTACATCAGGAAGAGGTTTGGGCTATTACTACAGTGACGTCTGTCAGTGCCAGCAGAGGGGAGGTCCTGTGGCATCACTGTTCTGTTAGGCAGTGCCCATGCAGGGCTCTGCTACAAATCAGCATGGAAGACTCCAGAGATCTTGTGTAGGCAGATGGGTGTAACTGTAAAGGAAAGTATCTAATTGTGGATTCATCTGTGGTATGCAAATGACACCAATAATAAGAAAAGCATTGTCTTCTTGAATGAGCTATGGCACATCTCGAATGCTCTTATCTGAAGATCTCAAAGCTCTTGGCAAACGCACTGATAAGCACACAGCAGCTGGGCCTCACTTAAACTTTCAGCTGCCTCAGTATTTTCTGTCAAGAGGTTTTCTGGGTAAAAGTCTGGCTTTTTTGACAAAGCCGAATTTTGCATTAAATGTTGTGGGGTGAAGGGGGGAAGGAAGGGGTGTTTGGTAATACTAAGCTGCCTAGATCCGTAAGTGGTTTGGGGGTAAAGTTCTGGTTTGTGATAATAGTGTGGACAATATATATTTTTCTGGTTTAGTGGTTGTCATTCCTGATAATACTGTTCCTTGGAGCTGTTCTCTGGCCTGAGGCCTTTCTCAGATGCCCCGCACTGTTTGATATTTCACTTTTTATGGGTTTGCTTTCATCTCTAATTAATCAAGAAGAGGCTAGGATGATAACTTCTCAAATACGTAGTTCTGTGCACACCCAACTAGGAATCTGTTCCTGGGAATAGCAAGCCATCTGTGTTAAATTAATCCCGCACTGCTCTTCATGCACACAGCTGGACCAATGCCTTCTGAACACATCCCCCCTAGTAATACCCAGCTAGGCTAGACACCTACTTGCTTCGGAAGTTATCCATGGTGCTCAGGACCTTTGTCAGCTCCGACTCGAGATTCTCCTGTTCGTAGTTGAGCGCCTTCATCTCTTGATTCATTTTGGTCATGTACTGATCGTAGATGGCCTTAATGTCTGACTCGGAGTGGGAATTGTCTTGATCCTTCAGGAAGTTCCACCTTGTTGTCAGGATCTTATTCTGTTGCTCCAAGCACTGGACCTACAAAAGATGTTTCAGAGATATTAGTAACACTGACAGCCAAAATCAAAGCTGACTGCTCCTGGCAGAGCAGGAGATACTGACCTGGAGACCCTCAGAGTAGTGAGAAGCTGCTGGAATCGGCAGAGATCTCCAAGTAAGAACAAGCAATCCCTTGAAAACTAGGGCTGAGGATGGAGGGTTATAGGGACTTTCAGAGGCCTGACACATTACCTACCAATTAATTTCTTGATAGAACATGTTCGCATCAAAATGAACATGTGCATCTTTAAGTCACTGAAAAATAAGAACTGTTCAATGCTAGTCCCCTTCACCTGTGAACATACTGAAGCAAAGCCTGAAAATCCACCACAAGTCATACACAAATGTCCAGGGTGAATGAAAATCAGATTTACTACCTCGGAGTGGCACAAAAAAAGATAACTCCTCTCAAATCTGTAGGATTGCACCATGGTGAAGTTTGAGTAATGAATCAGAGTCCTGGTTTGTATTGCAAAGCAACGTAGACAAGGCCCATGGGAACTCTAGAGAATAAGCAAAATAATTACAGACTCCACGTGAGCTCTGTGTTTGTGTGTGCCTGTCTGCTTGAGAGAGGCTACGCTGCATTTTCATCCACCCGCCATTTGGAGAACCTGGCACTCTTCTTCCCTAATATTCACAATCTTAACAGTAACGCTCAGCGTTTAACAGTTTTCATCGTCAAAGCTCTTGGATAACTTCAATTAATTATCTAATTGCTGCCCCTCTCTCTCTTATTGCTCTGTGCTCAAAACCGAACTCCTTAACTCATAAATCGGGAGCCAAAACGTGACTGATCTCCCCCAGTGTTGTCCACTCTGCAATGGAGACGATTCAGTGCTGATACTGAGCTCCGTGTGGTGTGGGCAGTGGGGTGCAGATGTTATCAGGCCTTGACCTTCTGCTTTGATGAACTTTCTGCAGCCTGAAGCAGCACCAGTGCATTGAAGAGACAGAGTGCCCAGCTGCTGACCACCGCACAGATGCACGTGGTGAGAAACAGCATCTTTCCCAAAGCGCTTCTTGTCTGAGCAGAGGGAGAGAAGCAGGAGCAAAGAGCAGCCAAGCAAAGGAAAAGCACTCTGCTGCTCGTAGTGTTTTCAGCAGGAGGGATGCGAGTGTTGGGATCTTCCAGGTCCCGCTGTTAGAGACCTCATCCCTTGGTCCCGAGGTCTACGTGACTGTAGACATCCCGTCAGTAGCCCAGCCTGCTGACTGGCACAAAACCAGAGTGGCCCACTCTGTGTGTGGGTGCACGTGTGAGGCTGAGAACCAGAGCACGGTGCCGCAGCAGAGCCAGAAGGGAATGTTGCATGCGGCGCCAGTGAGAGACCTCCGGGGCTACCAGAAGCCACTGGGGTCATTTGTTCTCTCCATCTGAGGCATCTCAGGGGTTGTAACAGCACCCCTCCGCAGGGCTGGGGGCAACCTTGGGGTTGGCTGCAGGGAACAGCCGCTCATTTTAAGGCAGCTTCCCCGTTTGCTGCTGGGGTGGTAAATGCCTGGATGTGCTGGCAGATGTCTGTGGACATCTTTGACCCTCAAGTCAAGTCTCAGTTCCTGACCTTGCTCCTAATCCTTGGCTGCTCTTTCTCTCCTTCCCCCAAACTCTTTGGTTTCTTTCCTATTCCCAAACCATACCCATCCACTGGGCTGAACTGCTTACATCTTAGCTTCTTATACAGCATCCCTCTTAGCAGAAATTCTTCTGTGCAAAGTCTTAACATGAGTTTTGCAGCAGAAGAATCACCCAGATCCGGCCTCAGCTCCTGGAAGATCAAGCCTGAATACAGTAGTGACCAAAGATGCTGCTCGAGCTAAAGGTAGGGCCTCAAACAGGGGCTCCATGACTTGGCTTTTCTCTGTCTTCTACCGGGACATATCTGGATGGAAAATAAACACTAGCAGATCTGGCACAGCCTGCTGGAAAACTATCCGTGGCAAACTCCTAAAGTTAGTGTGGTCAATTATCTGAGGAATTAGGCGCTCAGGCTTGAGACCATCTGAATTCCTGATTAAAAAGGCAGGTTCTCTTTGACAAGGAAGTGTCATTATTTTCCTCTGGAATGAGGGCCCGAGGCAGACGGCTGAAGTTTGCCACTTGATGTACGACTTGAAGCTACAGCCTTCAAAGCTAAATGCAGGAGCCGCTTGCACTAAAGTCAAAGCCACCCAGCAAAGGTGGGGTGTTTGTATCTTCTGTCCATCAGGGCCTGTAACACACAGTTATCAGCAGGCCACCAGATTGGGTTTATCAGGAAATCTAGAGGATCTCTCACTTCTTCCATCTCTGTTTGCACGGAACAGGCTTCCATACGTGGTCTGGCTCATGTACAGATTGTCTCTGCGTGGTCTTGTCCCACCTCCCCTACCCCCATCCTTTCTGCTGAGGTCTGGTTTCTGAGCAGGGCTAAGGTCCACACGAAACCCAACCTCTCCATCTGGTCGCTCAAAGGACCAGGCCCGCAGCATGTGCGACACAACCCACCTGGGTGATTTCCAAACCAGGGGTTCTCCAACTTCACGTTGCCAAGATCTGTGCTTGGAAAGGCAGAGACATGGAGGCTGCCATGCCCCTCCAGCCAGGGTCAGCACCCTGGTACCGCTGCATGCCTGTCTGCACACGCAGGTGGGGCTGGTTCGCAGCTATTCAGTTGGGATAGATGCTATGGGAGATGGGTCCCCCGCCCTTCTCCTTCCCAGTGTGAATTCAGGTCCTCTTAGAGGTAGAGTTGAAACAAAAAAAAAAAAAAAAAAAAATCCCAAGCCATAGTCGCTTGGCATTGAGTGCCTGCATTGTAGACTGCAGTGAAGCAATCCTCCTAGGAGATTACCATCTGTTTATAGAGCACCAGGGCTTTGCAGAAACCTGCCTCGGCTAGATGAGTTGTTTTCCTTTGAGAAAACCTTCTGCCTTCTCATGGATCTTAAGAGATGAAAGCGACACTTTCTTGGCTAAGCACACAACCCCTCACAATAAAAACCACAGAGGAGGGGGGCGGGGGGTGTCTCCCTTGCCCACCACACTACTGTGGAGGTGAATTTCCAGCTCTCTTCAGCAGTCGGAGCTGAATTTGAGCTGCTGCCTTAATCAGTGTCACCGCCCATGGCTGTTTGTCCACCTTGGGAGCCAAGGCCTGCTCTCTCCAGCTCCGTGCCTCGGTGGCCCTGCTCTGCCCCCCGAGGCAGGGCTGCTCCCCGAGGCGGAGCTGCCTGTCACCCCCAGGGACCCCCGGGGGGCTGCTGGGCTCAGTGCAGGAGATGCCCGGGCTGCCGCTGACCACGCGCGCGGCCCGGCTTCACCTGGAGATGATGCTAGCCCTTGTTAAAACAGATAGCGCTGGAGGAATAACTAATTGGGTAATTACCCTAATATTCAGAGCCTGGCAACGGTTAGCTATAGGTCTTGATAAGTCTCCTGAGAGACAGGTTAGCGTCCGCTTCCCCACCACCATCCCTGCCCCGTGCTGCGCCGTGGTCCTCGGTAGCTCACCTTACCTTCTCAATTAGGGTCACGAACTGGTTGTTGAGCGACTTGATGTCCTCTTTCTCCTGCTGCCGTACGGCTTGGAAGTCTGGGTCGATACCGAGGTTCACGGGGGCCAGGAGTCTCCCATCGGTGGGGAAGGAGGGGTAAGAGGAGCAGCGGTATCCACCATCCCCGTGGAGGCTGAGCGAGCTGTAGCCGTTGCCGGCCACCCCGTTGGGACTGCAGCGGCCCGGGCGATCCGGGGACGTGCTGGCTGCTTTTCCTCTGCTCATCTGCCCTGACACCTCCCAAGAGGAGAGGGAGCCACTGGTGAAGGCTTTGCAAGGGTTAGTCATGCTCAGCTTGTGGCTCTGCAGCTCGAGGGTAGGGGAGGGAAAGGGGAAGGAGAAGGAAAAAAAAAAAAAGATGAAGTTTTCTTGCTGCTGCTGCTGCCTCAAAGGGAAGGAGAGTAGTGGCACACTGAGCAGTTTGGTCGGCTTAATTCCTGTCTCCTCAGCTCGTGGGCTGGCTAATGAATTACAAGCACCTGTTCTCCTATGTTCATTAAACGGAGGAGGGTGTAACCGTTGATGTAATCCAGATCAACCTGTTGGCTTTTAATTTTTTTTTCCCTCCTCTGTCTGTACCCTCCTTTCTTCAGGAGCTTGTTTGTGTGGTGAGGGCATAGGCACTCGCAGCGAAAACAAATCACTCCCAGGTAATTCGCTGGGCCCCAAGCAGCTGCTTTCCTCATCCTTAAATGGTGAAGAAAACAGTGGAAGGTGCTGGGCTGCAGCGGGCTCGGGGGGGACAGCGCTGAGCACGGCTGCTGCACTAGCACCGGGCACATGGAGCTCGGGTTCAGCCCCTGGCTGGTTTCCAGCCAAAATCTCCAGGAAAGAATTATAAATTTTTTTTTTTGGGGGGTATTTTTTTTTTCTTTTTTTGGGGGGTTGGGGGGAGGGTGGGGTAAGTGTTTAAAATCATCAAGAAAGAGTCCGAATGGGGTAAGGGTAGGAGTTTGGAAACACATCTCAAGCTCATCGTGGTTAGAGATGCTCACGGGCTTCCTTTGACCACACAGGCACGTCACGGACACTTCTGGTGCTCTGAGCGTTTTAGGGATGATAAGTCTGGTTTTGAGACCCCTGGGTGTGGGGACTAAAAGTCCTGAGGTTAGTCAGGCACCTGGCCTGGCAACAACAGAGGCCTTCAAAACCTCTAGACGTGGAGTTGAATCTCAAAAATGCCCAGGTCCATCCTTGCCTGCTGCGCTCCTGCTCCTTGAAAGCCCTTTACAGGCTAGTGCTGGAGACACCAAAAACCACTGTCTTTTAATGAATTCTACTCTGCCAACGTGGCACGCCCTTAAATACCTGTTTAGACCTAGGTATAAATCCACGTTGGACATGGCTCTCTCGAAAGTATTTTCCTGCATTAACTCGATTTCTCATGTGAAAGATCAGGATAGAACACCTGTTTCTGCCTCTTGTTGTCTACTGTCACTGTGGTGGTCTCAGGAAAAGGGATGGTCTTCTCTGGCCCAAATTTGGAATTTCCATTTTGTGGGAAAGCTGCTGTTTTATGGTCTGGTTCTGCCCCGTGTTGGAAGACAAGCTGGGAATTTCCCTACCAAGTGAAAGAAAAGTTGGGTCTGTCACAGACCTGCTTCAACAAGAAACGTGTTTGATGATGTAGTCGTTTTTGCCTTAAGAAGGAGTTCAGGAGGAAGATGACCCATTCCAGTAGAGTTAACCTTTTCTTCAAGCATAGCTTCAGTATTTTGCCAAGAACAATGTGCTTTCACGTGGCCTGTCTGTCTCACCAGAACACCCTTGCCAGGGAAAATGTTGATCCATTCGAATACCAAGTCCCTCACTCAACAAATCATGGTCAGGGCTTTTCGGTTTAATCCTGATGGTTTATTTTAAGGATTAAAACAAAATTTATGGCTGGGAGATGACAGAGCTTATGGCTCCTGCAAGATGAGGTGAGATTGCCTATCTCATCGTGGGCTGCTGGTTTGTGGCTTTGCGGTTGGAGGCACATCAGTGCTCCTGATTAGCATCAGGTCACGGGGTCACCTGGCAGGTTTTTTGCTTCGTCTGGGACTGAGGGCAGTTGTGATGGCTCCCTAGAAATGATCCCTCTGAGGGAAGCAGATAGAGGTGAAATTAGGCTAGTTCAGTTTAACAGCGGCTGAGAGCAGAGTTTTACACTGAGCTGGACGGGAGGTTTTGCAAGATCCCAGGAAGCGCTGCTGGTCATCGCGTTGGCAACCACATCTACCTGAGCATCAATCCCTACTCCTTTCTCCTCTCAGTATCAACTATTTCTCTCCCCCCACCTTCCCTTTTTTTTTTTTTTTTTTTTTTAATTAAATTTCTAACACTGGATCCAGCCTTTGAGGATATCCAGTTTGGCTGAAATAGCATCTCCCAGTACAGAATGGCACAAAAAAACTCTCCAGGTGATCAGATCTAATTGTAACACGTTGCTCGATGCCTTTTGAGTCCTGGTTCCTGCACAGCATCATATATTATATCCCACATCCCCTTAGAAGCTGGAGGCCACAGAAAGATGCAGAAGGATGATGATTTCGGATTAAAGCTGCCTCTGACACTTGGGAAAGAGTGGAAAACCATTTTTCAGTGGGAGCGTTGGGGCCACTCTACTCTGAGGTGAGCAAGGCTTTTCAAAGTCCTCTCCTTCCAAAAGGATGGGTATAATTTGCAATAACCTCCTAAGGAAAGTGTTTGCAAGTGGTCGTCTCTGCTGGCAGGTGATGTGGGAAGAGCTTGCAGAGAGAGGGTTAACCTGCTTCCTACCCTCTCCCTTCTGGGTGCCCAGGCTGAGGCTCCTGGTGTCCCACCTGCAAGGCAGAGGGGGAGGTGGGCGCCCAAGCTTGCCCTCTTAAGGGGGGACACTGCTGCTTATGGTGCTGGCTCCGAGGGGGACCCTAATTTCAGTCCAGCCTGTGCATTGCTCCGTGGCAATGCCCATCAGCCTGATGCTGAAATTATCCTGCTTTTTGGTATCGTAGGTGCAGAAACCTGTCACCTCGTGCTGTCTTTTCAAGGATGGAGAAGGGAGGGCTGCTTCACACAGAGGCAGCCAAAGCCTTGCTACATGTTCCTCTCCCTTGCTGTCTTCCCTGCCCTATGGGAGAGGCAGTGCTGAGTCAGGGTGTTTCTTCCCTTCCTGCTGATGCTCTCAATGCTCCTCCTCGGCCAGGTATTTGGTTCAATTTGGAATGGGCTCGTCTCCAAAACCGGGCTTTAAGATTTGGTGCCAGCCTTCTTGGCTATGCAGCAAAACAAGCTGAAAAAGGTTGGAGCTAAGGAGGAAGGCGTTAGCAAGCTGAAGAAGGTTCTGGAAGATGTGATGAAGGGTCCCGTCACCTCCATCTAAATTGCCCTGTCCTCCTGCTCCCACGGTGTTGCTGCCTGTGTCCTCGCAGCCTAGTCTGGCTTGTCTCCTGATCCATCTGGATGGAGCTGTCACCACCCGAAGATGCCGTGTGGTCCCGGGATCTCCCATTCTGGATATGTCTGGAGCAAGGCAACGTGTTGCTTTGAGTTTGCAGTGTGGTTGGTTGGTAGGTTGAGGTTTGGAGATGGGCACAGGGTGGTTTGGGAGTGCTTAAACCATTGCAGACAAACCTAGACAGTCTTGTCACCCTTCCCTTGATACATGGAGATTTATCCCAGCCATCTGGAAAATCACCTTTTAGGGTTATTAGCTCAATATGTATACACATAGTAGAGTAATTTATTTATCAGGATTCCGTAAGTAATTGCTGTTTATGAAGCATGGCTAACGTATGAAGCATAAACAACGAATCAGCACTTGCCCCAAGGAACACGAATGATCAAGGTTAGGCAAGACAGAGACAGGGCTGAGGGATGCAGAGAGCTGTGGAGGTAATGAGTGGGTCAGCAGGGCTTATTCAAGGCTCATCAGGCACGCGAGGAGCGTCTGGAGTGGGAACTGCCTGCGTTAAGCCGAGTGACGCATGGCAGGGGAATGGCTGATACTGTGGCCACAGGTAGGACGAGGCAGAGCAACTGCAGGTTCTGGTTCTGGAGAGCCGGGTCAGTGCGCTGAGGTCAGGCTCCAAAGGGAAGGAAGAAGAGGGCCTATTTTGTTAAGTGTTTGGTTTGCTTTTGTGAAGTTTGGCTGCTAGCCCGCACCCGGTGAGAGGCGAGGCGAGGCGTTTACCGGCTCTGCGGCAGAGGTTGGGGGTGGGTTGGTGACACGGGGTCACAGGCCCGCGACGCTCCCCAGCGCCGGGCCGGGGGGCTTTGCCTGCCGAGCTGCCTTCGTTCAGCGGTTTCTCAGCCCGTGCCTGCAGTGCCCGCTGGAGAAGGGAAGGGGCTGGGCTGGGCTGGAGCCGTGCCCAGCCCCGTGCTCTGGTAGGACACCCAGGGGCACGCCGGTGACCACAGGGCTGCGTGCTGATTTGGGCAGGCGTGTGGTTTGCCGTTGCCCTCCTTGTGTGACCCTCCCCGACCTGGGGGGCGGTGGATGGGCACTGGGGGAAGCGCTCTGGCCACCTTGCCCGTGCTGGGATCGGGGCGTGGTGGCTGGGGACAGGAGAATTTCACCCCCGACAGCGGCTCTTTGTGGACCCTGCTTTGGGGGGTGGTTGGGGAGAGCTCTGCAACCTTCCCTGCGTCCGCTCCGTCCCCGCTCTTTCCTCCTCCCTCACTTATTCCTTATTTCCATGCTCTTCCACCCCTCCAGTGTCCCGCTTCCATTCTCACTTCCTCCTTCGTTCCTCTACGTGCCTGCCCAGAGCCATCCACATCCCCTTCCTCCAGCCCAACCCCCTGCCCTCCTTCCTCCTTCCTGATTTCCGGGTGAAACAGTGAGTACCTAAAACTCTATCATCTAAATTGCTTCCCCCAAAATAGGCGTCACTTGCGAAGAATTTATGGAAGGGTTTGGAAGGCAGGACGGGACGTGCCCACATCTGCTTCACACTCAGGAAGGTTTCCAACCCATCTGCTGCGCTTTTGCTCACGTAGTTTCCAAGAAATTTCAGGTATTGAAAAGAAAATAACTAGGACTAATTAAGTGGTGGTGACATCACTCGTTTCTGCTGGGGTGCTGCAGGCTCTTCCCTCCCCACTGGACAAAGAGGCTGGGTGATACCGGCCGTGCCGGGGGCTGGGGGGCAGCTGCGGGGCGCTGGATCTCCCCCAGGCAGCCGCAGCACGTCATCTCCCAGATAAAAGGGCTCTGCTTCACCTTAGAAACCGCTGCTCTGTTTTCTCAGCTGGAGGCTGCCCCGCAGCCTGTGCATCTCCACGTGTCCTTGGCTGTCCATCGTACCCACTTGTCCTTGTGTCCACCACTCTGAGCCCGCTCTCTGGAGCTGTGCTGGGAGCCTGAAGGTTGCCAGTTCCCTTTCTAACAACCTGTCCTGTTACTTTGGCAAATGGCTTCTCCTTTCTCAATGTCCCTGCTTATAAAAAGGGCATAACTGAGACACACAATGTGAGGATTTACTGCTGAGTGTTTCTCAATCCACACTTGAGAAAATGACTTCATTCCTTTTAGACAGCACCCAGTATCCACCGCTCTGATTACAGCCTGGCTCTGTGCTCTTGTGTCACTTTTAATGAGGCATTTTGTTCCTGCATTGTCTGT